TTTTATTAAAAATACAAAAGTGACGCATTCTTTATTACTTAGTGTTTACGTACAAATTCCTATTCTGATTGATAATTTCTATCAAATTAAGACTACTAAAACGTCATCGAAATAGTAGTTATGTGTGCTGGTGTGCACATGTTCGGCTTTCAATTTTTGTTCATCTAAGTTTCAAATGCGGCTCAGCTAAGGTTAAAAGCTATACATTATCATTTTTTTTTTTGTACTTTACTTTACTTTTTTAAGCAGTTGATTGATTAATTGATTATTTGATAAGAAAAATATTCATGTAAAAAAAAGGATATGTTTTCTCAATTTTTTTATTTTTATTCTTATTATTAGACAAACAAATTTGTGATTATTTTAAAATACAAAAGTAGACGTATTATAATTATAAAGATCTATTGTTAAGAAATCTATTAATTTTCAGATTTGTAAGACTGCCTCAACGTTTTAGAGATAATTAAATAAGGGCTGGCTTTCGCTATCATCAGCAGTCTATACAGCATTCTCCAGACAGCACAGCCAGAAAGTTGTCAATATTTTATGAACAAAATATGACCATTATATGATTCTACCTTTCATGGTAAGTTACATCAATAACTTCAAGATTAAAATACAGCTAAAGTTAGGTCTAAGGCTGCAGTCACATGGTGCAGGATAGAGCTGCAGGATAGAATTTCTGCCGTGTTAAGTCTATCCTGCTGCAGGACGTGTAAGAGTGCAGGATAGACTTAACACGGCAGCAATTCTATCCTGCAGCTCTATCCTGCACAATGTGACTGCAGCCTTATAGCGTGACTCAGTTGGGCACCAACACTACACGTACAAGTAAAAAAAAAAATAATTCTTTTTTTACTTTAATTTAAAATATCTACGTTGGCACCCATAGGGTTACCTATTTCACTCTTAATTCTGCGCACGAGATCAGGACACCAATAGTGCAAGTTTCGCCGGAAGGACCCATATGCATACAGTATATGTGGATAATGGGGATGTTCGTGTGGTGTCTCCAGTAACTGCCCAGTAAGGAGATCATGTGACCGCATCATCACATGACTGTACTGGAAAATCGTTCGGATGATGAACAGTAAATCAGTCACGTGGTGGTATCACGTGATGTCTTTACTGGGCTGCAGTTACTGGAGACACCAAACGAACATCCCCAAAATATATAAGTATTATAAGTATGCAAAACTCAGCGTGTTTATAGATATACCAACCAATACGTAAAAAGCTTGGCAAAATGTTTCAATATCTCTCTCTCTCTCACACACTCATGCGGGCTCACGGCGAGTTTTTTAACTCGAAACTCCATGTGTATAGGTAGCCTGACGTAGACTTTGAGCTATGTTATGTTCTCTTTTTTTCAAAACTAGAACTTACCATGCGCGCTTCACGTGCTCTATTTTCATGAATTTAAATTACTTTTTGTTTAAGTTTCAAAAACTAATTTTCAAATTAACCCACTCTTGACCAGTCTCGACCAATCAAAGAACGAATAAAAAGGCTTCATCACGTGACCCATCATTTTTTTAAGATAGGATTAAAATCTACTACAATCATTTAATTAAGATTGATAACCTAAATCAATCGAATCAGCTTATTCGATAACATTATTTTATGTAACTAAAAAATGTTTCTTAGTTTNTAATAACTATTTTTTATATTTATATGAATTATATTAATTTACATTTTTTCAATAAATGTATTACAACAATTTCCTTTTTTCTGTTTCAGGTTTTGGCAGAAAACCCATTAAAAACCATTCAACAAAGTTATACTGGATGTAATTTTACATAATTGACCATAAGTTTGTGATTTACGTACAAGCATATATCTAGCTATTACATTTATTTTTTACGCTTGTATTTGTAATTTAGATTGATCTTATTAATGTCCATGTTTTTATAACAGTAATTTTTGTCAATAAATTATTTTAAATAAGAAAATTATATTCGAATTTTTTTTAATTGTATTATTACTAAATTTATCAAGAAAAAAAAGAAAGAAAAACAAAGTCGAAATCATTTGAACCTGGTTGTATTCCGTAACTTAAACTTTACGCTAAGTCTTGTGTTAAAAGCATAGCGAAAATCAGTTACGGATTACCACCAGCCTATTTAAACCGTGACCACTCAATTAAAACTGTAATCACAACTATAACTACAACCACAACTACAACCAATTATCAAAACCACAACTAAAACCAATTACCAAAACCTTAACTACAACCAATTATCAAAACCATAACTACAATCAATTACCAAAACCATAATTTCAATAATAACCGTACCTGAAGAAAACCAACCATCTTCTAACTACACTCAACTGCTTTTTATGAAAAACGAGCTGAATTTATGCAATAACTCGAAAATACCAAAACTATTGTAATCAACGATGAAAAATTTTACCTGTTACTGAAATTAACCACCACTGAAATAAGACTTTAAAAAAACTACAACCATCATTAACTTTAACTACAGTTTACTTGTGTATAAAACTTTTTTAATATAAATTAAAAATATAAAACATCTATTTATTTTTTCTTGAAACTCCTTGTGATTTTATTGTAATCAAATTCCTGCAGCAAAACTTTTCAACTTCTTACTTAACTTGTCTTTATTTTTTGGTTTAACAAAAAATTTTGTTTGGTTAAATTTTATTCAATTCAATTTTTTCTAAGATCGTTGTTCAAAATGCCTTGAGCGAAAGTTTCCCGTACAAATGAAGAACAAGAACTCTTCAATGCAAGAAGACGTGCACGAAATACAGAAAATAAACGTAGAGAACGTCAAAATGCTCGTCAACTTCGAGTAGATAATAATCGTATTACACAATCACTTGAAACATCTTATTCAAATCAGATTCCGGAAGACCATTTGGGACTAATGAATGAATTGTGTTTACATTGTAAAGCAAAACATTTTAACGACGAGAAGGTTTCAGGAAAGGGATTATCCTTCAATCATTGTTGCGGACATGGCTCGGTAACGCTTCAAAAACTACCTAAATTTCCTAATGATCTTGAATCTTTATTGAAAGGAGAACATTCACTTTCTAATCAATTTCTTGAACGAATTCGTCATTACAACAATTCTCTGCCTTTTGCGTCATTCAATACGAATTTGGTTAATTTTTCGTCTGGTGGACGAGGGCCGTTTTGTTTTAAAATAGAAGGTCAAATATATTATTAAATTAACACTTCTTTGTATCCTCGTGATGATGAGTACCCATCATATGGTCAACTGTTTATTGTCGATCAAGAAGAAGCTGTTAACTATCGTATCATGCAAAATCCAGTTATTGATTATCAACTTATGTCAATTTTAGATACCATTATACGAAATAACAATATTTTTGCAAAATCTTATGAAATGATGCGAGAAGAAATAAATTCACAGCAACTTTTAGATAACAATGAAGGACAACCAGAATTACAATTATTGTTTTCATTGAAGCCTGGTCAAGATGCACGTCGATACAATTTCCAGAGAGTTAATGAAGTTGCTGCTATATTCTCTACAACAGCTGACGGCGAAATTCCTGATTCATACGTTACCGTGCGAAACAAAAGTACAAAAAATTTACAATACGTAAGTTAAATGGATCCTAATGTTGAACCTTGGATTTATCCATTGTTTTATCCTTATGGCACCCAAGGATGGCATAAAAATATGATGTGCAATAATGATTCACAACGACGTATCACACGAATGTCTTATATTCGATTTCGCATGGCTGTGAGACCTGAAGAATTTAATCCTTTTGTTATGGGCCGAAGATTGTACCAACAATGGTTAGTTGATAGCTATGTTAAAATTGAAAAAGACAGAATACAATACTGTAAAGACAATCAAAAAAAGTTAAAAGCAGACACTTATAAAGGTTTACATGATTACTTAGAAATTTCTGCAAATGAGATAGGTGGTCACGTAGGTAAAACTGTAATACTTCCTTCAACGTTTATTGGTTCTCCTCGATACATGAAACAATATTACCAAGATGCTATGGCAATCGTAAACAAAAAAGGAAAACCTGACATTTTTCTTACTATGACATGCAACCCTAATTGGTGTGAGATTAAAGATAATTTACTACCTGATCAACAAGTTGCGGATAGACCAGATTTAGCAGCACGTGTATTTCATTTAAAAAAGGAGCGCTTACTTGATCTCATTGTAAAAAACAATTATTTCGGGAATGTTGCTGCATACGTATACGTTATTGAATTCCAAAAACGAGGGTTGCCTCATATGCATTTATTAATTACATTAGAACGTGGCTATAAATTTACTGCGCCAGACATTGTTGATAAATTTAAATCAGCAGAAATTCCTGGCGACGCAGTAAGCCCCGCTTTGCATCAAATCGTAATAAAAAATATGATACATGGTCCTTGTGCTGCTTGGTGTATGAGAGATGATAAATGCACAAAAAAATTCCCAAAGCAGTTTAATGATGAAACAACTATGGATAAAAATGGATATCCTCAATATCGCAGAAGAAACACTGGTAAAATTTATGAACGTCCTGGTAGTTATGAAGTAGACAATAAATAGGTAGTTCCATACTGTCCAGAATTATTGGAGATGTTTAATTGTCACATGAATGTAGAAGCTGTTTCAAGTGTTTCAGCTGTAAGGTATTTATACAAATATATATACAAAGGACATGATGCTGCTTCAGTAACAATAGGAGAATCAGAGGGAAATAGTATAGTTGATCATGATGAAATTAAAAACTTCATTGAAACTCGCTACGTCGGACCTGTTGAAGTTTGTTATCGTATTTTAAGTAAACCAGTACAAGGTAAAAGTCACGCTATTACTAGATTGTCACTGCATTTGCCAAATGAGCAATGTGTTATTATTCCAGAAAATGTAGACGATCCAGTTATAATGAATAATTTAAATAATTCAAGCAGCATGCTTCTTGATTATTTTAAATTAAACATTAGCAATGAAAACGCTCGACAAAATTTTTATTCTGAAATCCCAACTTATTTCACGTACAAAAAAACTAAAAATGGTAATGTGACTACAACTTCATGGAATAGTCGAAAACAAAGATTCAATTGTATTGGGCGTATGTTTTCTATAAGTCCAACTCAAGTAGAATTATTTTACTTGAGATTATTATTGCTACATATTAAGGGCAATACGAGTTATAATGACTTAAAAACGGTTGATGGCATTCTACAACCTTCCTTTACAGCAACGTGCTTAACTTTGAGAGTTATTGAAGACGATGATGAGTGGATTAAAGCAATGAACGAAGCTACGGTATGGATGATGCCACAAAGACTTCAACTTTTGTTTGTTCGTATATTGATACATTGCCAACCTATTCATCCTGAAGAATTATGGGAAAATTTTAAAGATGCTATGTCAGAAGACTATTCACGAACAAACGATAAGAAAATAAGTCATCAACTAGCTTACAGCCAAATTAACAATTTATTAAATAGAGAAGGACGAAGTTTAGCTGATTTTCCTACAATGGAACAATCTGTGATTGCCAATGCCTTAAGTGATACAAATGATGTTACAGTTGAACAAGCATCAGAAAGAGGTTATTCGCAGTACGATAAATTAAATAACGAACAAAAAGAAATAGTTGATAAAATTCTAACGGTTTTACGAGAAGAAAATATTCATAATTCAACATGTTTCTTCTTGAAAGGACCCGGAGGATCCAGAAAAACATTTGTGTACACAACAATTTATAATATTTTATTTTCTGAAAATATTAAAGTATGTTCTATGGCATTTACTGAAATAGCAGCAACTTTACTTCCAAATGGTAAGACGGTACACAAAACTTTTGGTTTACCTGTTCCAATATTTCATGACTCTTCATCCAGTATAAAAAAACAATCAAAAGAAGGCTTATTTTTGAAAGAAGTCAAAGTTTTTATTTGGGATGAAGCTCCAATGGCACCAAGATATGCTTTGGAAATAGTTGATAGAACGTTAAGAGACGTTATGAACAATGATTCACCATTTGAAGGGAAAATTATGATTTTAGGTGGAGATTTTAGACAACTGCTTCCAATTAAAGTACGTGGAACTCGTAGCGAAATTTTAAACTTGTCCATAAAATATAGCAATTTATGGAAATACTTTTTACAAATCAAGTTGACAACGAATATGAGAGTATTACCACAAGAAGCTCAGTTTGTTACATTCTTGTTAAACGTAGGTGATGGTACTTCAAATGATGACAATGATAATGTGACAATTCCGAATTCTAGCATACTAACTAATAATGAATGTCTAGTAAACCACTTTTCGGTCAACTTATAAAAGAAAATAAATTTAATGAAATAAATAAATGTGCCATATTATCAGCAAGAAATATTGATGTTAATGATATCAACGAACAAGTGACCGATTTATTAGATAAAACTACCGAACATGTATATACTGGGGTTGAAACTACTGATAATTGTGATAATGGTGAATTTGATTCCGGTGCTCTTTTACCTGAATATTTAAATTCTTTCAATCCTCCAAGCTTGCCTCCATATAAATTACGTTTAAGAAAAAATTGCATTATAACGTTAATAAGGAATATTAGTATTAATGAAGGTTTGTGCAATGGAACTCGATTACAAATCGTTGATTTCTCAAATCATTTACTAAAATGTAAAATTTTAACTGGGGACAAACGAAACGATATTGTTTTTTTAAATCGTATTACTCTGTACTGTGAAAACGAATATCCATTTACTTTTAAAAGAAGACAGTTTCCCGTTAGATTAGCTTTTGCAATGACTATTAATAAAGCACAAGGGCAAACATTTAATAGGATAGGTATAGATCTTCGTAGAGATGTTTTTAATCATGGTCAACTTTATGTTGCGATGTCCAGAGTTCGGTCGTGGGAAACATTAAAATTATATTTAGGGAATCAAAGAGAGAATAGTACTGTTAAAAATTATGTATAGAAAGAATTGTCTGCATAAATCAAATTTTATNTCTAGTATTATTGATAAGTTAAATACGATCTTCGGCCAGCAACCATCGGTGATTAGAAACCGATCAGTTTTTAGTATATGTAACAAATGAAATACGATCTCTATTAAGTAAGCGTCAACGACCAAAAGCGTAATGGTTTTTTAGTATTATTAATAAATCCAATACGCTCTTAGGTGAATAAGCATTGGCAATTACAATTCCAATAGTTTTGTTTCATTTGTTCGAGCAGTTTTAATCTCTAACCAAGATTATTTAGCTTGATTTTTCCGTTATAACTAAAGAACAAAATACGCTCTAAGGCAAGTAGGCTTTGGAGTTTAGAAACCTAATAGTTTTTTAGTAGTATAAATAAATAAAAAACGCTCTTAGGAGGGTATGTGTTGGCAATGAGAATTCCAACAGACTGGAATATTATTAATAAACAATTTAAAATCTTAAGCAAGTGACCGCTGGTAATTAGAAACTCAACAGATTTTAGCATTAGTACATGAGATCTAGTATAAACAAAATACCATCTTAGACTAGTAAGTGTCAACAATTATAAACGTTACAGTTTATTTATTTGTATTATTAATAAAAAAAAGCTTCTAGGCATGTAAGCATCAGCGATGAGCAATTCAACAGTTGTCTTAGTATAATCGATAAGTGAAGTACGAGTTGAAGCTAGTAAACGTCAGCAACTATCATCCACCTGTTTATTAGTCTTAATGATGAATAAAAAACGATCTTATTTGCATAAGTGTCGGTCTTGAAAATTTCATCAGATTTTATCATAATTAATGAATAAAATGTGCTCCTAGGCAAGCCAACTTGTGTTTACAAACCCAATAGTTTTTGAAGTAATATTAATAAGAAAAACACAATCCTTGGCCAGCAAGCTTTGGTGACTAGAAATAACCCAACAGTTTCGCAGTATTATTATAATTTAAATAATTCAAGCAGCATGCTTCTTGATTATTTTAAATTAAACATTAGCAATGAAAACGCTCGACAAAATTTTTATTCTGAAATCCCAACTTATTTCACGTACAAAAAAACTAAAAATGGTAATGTGACTACAACTTCATGGAATAGTCGAAAACAAAGATTCAATTGTATTGGGCGTATGTTTTCTATAAGTCCAACTTAAGTATAATTATTTCACTTGAGATTATTATTGCTACATATTAAGGGCGCTNAGTAAATAAAATTTGGCAATAAGAAACTAAACAGCCTATTAGTATTATTAAAAAATAAAAACTGACCTTAGGTTTATAACTGTCGGTGATTACGATTTCATTAGAATTTATTATCATTAATAAATAAAATATGCTACTAGGCGAGCAATCATCAGTGTCTAGAAATCCTATAGTTTTTAAATATTATTGATAAGTTAAATACGATCTAAGGTGAGCAAGTATTGGTGATCAAAAAACAATCAATTTTTTAATATTATTAAAAAATAAGATCCTTTCGTAAGCAAGTTAATATTGGCTATTATAAATCAACCAGCTACTGAGAATTGTTGATATCTATAGATATAATTTTATTAAACAAAAATCTTAGGCAAGTAGACGTCAGCAACTAAAACTCCGATCACTTTTAATTTTGTTGACAATTATAATACAATTTCAAATGTGTAAGCGTTGGCGATTGAAAACCTAACAAATTTTAGTATTTTTAATAAATTTAATATGCTACTAGGTGAGCAAATATTAGTGACTAGAAACCCAAACAATTTCTTATTACAATTAGTATTATCGATAAGTAAGATACGGATCCAAGCTCACAAACACCGGTGATTAGAAACCCAACAATTTTTCAGTATTATTGACGAATAAAATACAATCTTAGGCAGGTGAGCATCGGTGATTAAAAATATAATAGTTTTTTAATGTTATTACTGAATGAAAAAAAATCTTAGGCAGGTAAGTATCAGCAATCATAGCCACAACTAATTTGATTATTATTGATAAAAAAAATATGCTACTAGGCTAGCAAACATTATGATTTAGAAACCAAATAGTTTTTAAGTATTATTGATGAGTAAAATACGACCTAAGGCAAGCTTGAATAGATAATTAAAAACACAACATTTAAGCGTTTTTTGGTACTCATGCTTTGTTTTCGTTATTTTAACGACTTTTTGACCTATATTTTTCGGTAATGCTGTGAAGTAGAATTGAAGAAAACAACTAAACCAAAATACATCAGGCATACCGTTAAAAAAACTTATTTTTTAATATCTAGAAATTTGAATATGCTTATCTGAAGTAAACAGTAGCGTGGTCACCGAAGCTTTGTCTGCTTTCTCAAACTTACCTCGTTATGCTCCCACGTGACTTGATCTAAGACAAGTAAGCGTTGGTAGTTAGGAACCCAATAGTTTTTTAATATGATTGCTAAATAAAATACACTCTTAGGCCACGATACATTAAAGATCAGTTTTTTAGTAGTATTGATAAGTAAAAAACGATATCAGGCAAGTAAGTGTCGGTAAATAGAAGTCAATCAGACTTTAGTATTATTGATACATTAAATACAATTTCCAGCGAGTAAGCATTGGCGTTGAAAACCCAACAGATTTCAGTAGTATTGATACATTAAATATGCTATTAGATAAGCATGCATCGGTGGGTAAGAATCCAATCGTTTTTTAATATAATTGATAAGTAAATGACGATCTCAGGTGAGTAAACATCAGCAATTACAAGCCCAATAGTCTTTCAGTATTGGTGATCATTCAAATATGCTATTAGGCGAGTGAGTACCAGAAATTAAAAATTGAAAGGGTTGTTTAATTTATTTGAGCAATTTAAATGTCTAATCAAGATTATTTTTCTAAATTTTTTAGTATTATTAATAAGAGAATACGTAATCAGGCAAGTTAGCATTGGCAATTAGGAACCCGATAGTTTTTTAGCAGTATAAATAAAATACAATCTCAGAAAAGTAACCGTCACAATCTAGGAACCCAATAGTTTATTTGTATTATTAATGAATACAATACGCTCTTAGGCATGTAAGCATTACCAATTAGGCATTCGCCAGTCTTTTAGTACCATTAATAAGTAAAATACGCTTTTAGGCGCATAAGACTTGGTAATTAGAATTCCAACAGTTACTTAAGCATAATTGATGAATAAAAGCAATATAAGGCGTATGAGCGTCAGCGATTAAATATCAAATAGTTAATATCTATGACTCATGAATTAAACACACCTTAAAACATGTTACCATTGCTGCTTAGAAATCCATTAGTCTTTCAGTATTATTAATAAATAAAATACACTTTTATGCAAAAATCTACTAGCCCCTCGAAAAACCCAACGATTTTTAGTTTTATTAATAAATAAAATATGCTACTAAGTGAGGAAACATCAGCGATTATAACTCCGATAGGTTTCTAGTATTATTGATAAGTTAAATACGATCTTCGGCCAGCAACCATCGGTGATTAGAAACCGATCAGTTTTTAGTATATGTAACAAATGAAATACGATCTCTATTAAGTAAGCGTCAACGACCAAAAGCGTAATGGTTTTTTAGTATTATTAATAAATCCAATACGCTCTTAGGTGAATAAGCATTGGCAATTACAATTCCAATAGTTTTGTTTCATTTGTTCGAGCAGTTTTAATCTCTAACCAAGATTATTTAGCTTGATTTTTCCGTTATAACTAAAGAACAAAATACGCTCTAAGGCAAGTAGGCTTTGGAGTTTAGAAACCTAATAGTTTTTTAGTAGTATAAATAAATAAAAAACGCTCTTAGGAGGGTATGTGTTGGCAATGAGAATTCCAACAGACTGGAATATTATTAATAAACAATTTAAAATCTTAAGCAAGTGACCGCTGGTAATTAGAAACTCAACAGATTTTAGCATTATTTTTTAATAAAATGTGCTATAAGGTGGGAAAACATCAACTTTTAAAAACAAAATAGTTTTTTAAGTATCATTAATAAGTAAAATACGATCTCAGGCAGGTAAGTGTTATCGATTAAAAAGGCAATAGTTTTTTTTTAATGATACGACCACTTTTAATTTCTACTCAAGATTATTTTGCTACATTATTTAAAATTATTAATACAACACGCTTCAAGGTAAGTTGGCATTAGCGATTAGAAACTAAATAGTTTTTTAGTGTAATTGATAAATAAAACACAGCCTTAGGCTAGTCAGCATCGGCAATGAGAAAACCAATAGTTTATTCATTTTATTAATAACTCAAAACAATCCAAGGTGAGTAATCATTGGCAGTTAAAAACATAATAGTCTTTTAATATTATTAATCAACAAAGGCGAGAAAATGTAAGCGCTAAGAATTCAAAGACTTTCTTAGTATTATGGATAAATAAATAAAAATCTCAGGTAAGTAAGAGTCGGGAGTATAAACCTTAACAGATTTTAGTATTATTAATGAAAAACAATCGATCTCAATCAAGTAAGTGTCAGTAATTAAAATTCAAACTTATTTTAGTGTTATTGATATATGAAGTACAATTTCAGGCGAGTAAGCAATGGTGATAAAAAATCCAACAGTTTTTTAGTATCATTAGGCACGACGGATACTTAGAAGTGCCTTATATTTTAGCCAGGGCAAAAAGTGTAAGTACCTTTAAAACTAGTTGTTTTTGTGTAAAAAAAGTTTTGGTACAAAATCGTTGATTAAAAAGCCAGTAGATTTTTTTAAATTTACATAAGCAATTTTAATCATCACTAAAGATTATTTTGCTACATTATTTTAGTATTATTCACGGAATACACTTTCAGGTAAGTTAGCATTAGCAATAAGGAACTTAATAGTTTTTTAACATACTTAATCAATAACATATGTTCTTAGGCAAGTAAGCCTCGGCGATTAGAGACCAAACATTTTTTTAGTATTATAATTAATTGAAAAACGATCTCACAGAAGTAGGGGTTGGTGATTCAATATCCAATAGTTTTTACAGTATAATTAATCAATAATATATGCTCTTGGGCATCTAAGCATTGACGATAAGAGACCAAACCGTTTTTAGGTACTATCTATAAATAAATCACGATTTTAGGCAAAAAAGCTTCAATGATTATAAAACTAGTAGTTTATTTGCATAATGAATAAATGAAATTTGCTATTAGCATTAGTGATTAAGAACCCAACAGTCTTTCAATATTTTTATTAGATAAAATATACTCTTAGGCAAGTAAGCATTGGTGATAAAAAATCTAACAGTTCTTCAGTAGTAAAAATAAATAAAATACGCTCTTAGGCAAAATGGGTCGAAAATCAGAAACTCAACAGTTCATTTGTATCATCAATAAATAAAATACGCTTTTAGGCACGTTAGCATGAGTGATTAAGAATCCAATACTCTTTTAAATATTAATAATTAATAAACTACGATCTCATGCTAGTGAGGGCCGATAACTAGAATCCTAACAGATATAAGTATTATTGATAAATAAATGACGATCTCAAGCGAATAAGCACTGAGGGTTACAAACCTTATAGGTTAGTTTGATTTATTTAAGCGATTCTCCTGTAATCAGAATTATTTCGCATAATTTTTTTAGTATTACTAATAAATAGAATACCCTCTTAGGCAAGTATACATTGGTCATCATAAGCCCAATAGTTTTTTCATATTATTGATAAATAAAAAACGATTTCAGACAAGTTAGTATTGGCAATAAGAATCCTTACAAATTTAAGTATTATTGATAAATTAAATACAATGTCCGGCAAAAAGCGTCGGAAATTAGAAACCCAATAGTCTTTTGGTATTATTATTATTGAATAAAATACAGTCTTAGGCGGTTATACATTGCCGGTTAGAAAATCAGCAGTTTTTGATTATTACTAATAAATAAAAATAATCTTAGGTCAGTAAGTGCTGGTGATTAGTAGGTAATCCATAAGGATTTTAATCCAGCAAAGATTCTAAATCAGTAAGAATTATAATCCAGTAAGAATTCTAATCAAGTAAGAATTCTAGTCCAGTAAGGATTATATTTTTGTAATTATTCTGATCCAGTAATAATTTAAATCTACTAAAAATTTTCATCCAGTAAGGACTAGAATTCTTACAGGGGTGTGGCCTGGTAACCGCAAATGTTACTGCGTTATGAGTGCTACTGCGTTGAGTCTCATTGTCCTACTATCTTCACTCTTTACTGCGCATGTTACTACACGGCGGAATCCCTACTACCTCTCACTGGAATACTCTAATACCTCCACTCTTTTCTGCACACATTACTACGCAGTAGCAGCAAATAGCACGTAGGTGCTGTTGTCGTACAGCAGTTGCACTGCTAAATTTGCTGCTCTAGAGTGTTTAATTGTTCGCACTAGCCCGTAGCAGTCGTGCTGACATCAAGCGTATGCGTTTCGTTGTACTGCAGCTGGTTCTGCCGATACCGCTTTCAAGCTCGTTAACGTTGCTTTTATGTATTGTCTCCGTGCTACCATCACGTGTGTACGTTTTTATACTTTTGCTAGAGCCATTGATGCCGCTCTTGTTTATAGTCGACGTTGCTCTCGCGTGTTAACTTCGTGATGCCATTAAGTGTGTGTATTACTGTTGTACTGCTGCTGGTACCGTTGATGTCGCTTTCACGAGTTAACTTCATGCTGCCATCAAGTGTGTGCGTTGTTATTATACTGCTACTGGTATCATATCTGCCTCTCGGGTGTTCTTGTTGCTGCTCTTGATTGCTGCTACTACTGTGGTTGGCCAGGATCGCTGCTCTATTCGAACACATCATTGGTCTTATATTAAGTACAAGTATAATCCTCTAGTAGGCGTGCTTACATTTATTTTTTTAGTGAAATATTGAAATAGACATAATACATACGTTTATTTTATGATGTTTACAGAGCATGTTCTCGTTGCTGCTCTTAATTATTGCTGCTGCTGTTATCAGCTTCAATCGCTGCTCTACTTAAACACTTCATCAACCTGATATCAAGTACAAGCATCATCCTTGGATACATGTGTTGATATTTATTTTTTAGTGTAGGGTTACAATAAACGTAATGCACACGTTGATTTTTTTCTCTCTATCTGCTAATGATGATTTGTTGATGTAGTGCTCTCTCCGCTGCAGCCAATGACGCTCCTCTTTAATCTCGGTGACGACGTGGTTTTTTCTCTCTGGTTTCGGTGATGATAATGTGGTACTCTCGACTCTCGGTGACGACGTGACGCTCTCTCTGTTGCCAGCGATAATGACGTGTTTTACAGCAGCAGGTTTCGTTGATTGGCGGTTTATGCTCTCACTGTTTTGCTGCTCACATTTTAGAAAATGCTGGTTAGGAATTATTTATCATATCTTTAACTTTTTCTCTATCCAAGGTATTTCCTGATTCATCGGCAAAAAAGAACATTAGAGGTAGGTATTTTAAACATTTTTGTTAATTATGAACTAATCAACATCAAGTATATTACTCACCTTTACATAAAATATTACCTCTGTTGCAGCTCATCGTTTATGACAACCAACACCTTCACAGCAAATACACATCTCAAAAATGATTGCAACTCCTCCTTTTTTACAAGAGATTTTTTGTTCTACATCATCACAGGTAGGTGATAAATCTAAAAATATTTCATTGCAAAATAAATCACCTTTCTGTAATGATGAGGATACTGAAATAGTTTTTTTCGGTAGAATGATGGTGTTGTGAGATAGAAAAACCGCACGTGCAAAGTGTGCTTGGAAGTTATAGCCCCCTCTACCTAACCCAGTTTCTACACCAATGAAACATAAAGAGGGAAAAAAACATAATAAACAGGTTGTGTATTTCATACAATGCATGATTTTTTTTTAAACTTTATAATATTCATAAAGCATTATAAAGGAAAAGAGGTTAAGAAGAACACAAATAAGTGGTTTTTTCACCAGAAGAGCGTTGGTTGGAGCTCTTACTACTTCTTTTTCTTTTTATAAATGTCTTAAAAATTTTTTTTTATTTAGGACTCACCACAATAATTAAGAAAAAAAAATAATATTGAATAGAAATAGTAAGCAGTTTAAAAAAAGGTAATAATAAAGTAGAAATAATTAATAGTTTAACGAAATGGTCTTGTAGAGAACTAAGTGTATATGAATTTATTATAAAATTATTAAAAATAAAGAGAAGTAGTGAGGGCTGAATCCAACGCTCTCACTCGTGAGAAATAACCTTGTATCATTTTTCCTCCATAACTTCTCTTTCTTTGATTAAATTGTTAATTTATTGAAAATAAATCAAAAAATCATTTATAAACATCAGTGGTATCTTTTCCTTCTATTTAAGATAATGGTAGTAGTCAATAGTTTACAAGCCAGTTTTTTAGTGTGTATACATTTCATTTCGTACACACTGGATTTTCCTGTAGTAAATGATTAGAACAAGAAATTTTTTTATCATCATTCAAGCTCTTTATAGAAGGACATCACATCTCGTCCATATTGTAGATTACTCTGAAATGTAAAATGTTATGTTAATTATGTTAAAAGCATGATAAATGTATACTTACTTATCATACAAAATTTAATTAAGCCACTTTTTTCTCCAACCCTTTTACAAATATTTTCCTAGCGTTTTTTATAGAGTTTTGTAAGGTAAAGATTATTTCATTATAAGGTATAGAACCAGATGCACATGGAATCCCGTGATAATGAAATTCTAACCATTGATTAGTCCAGCGTTCACCAGATATAAACTTTGACCACTTGCAAAGCGCTCGAAACTGGTAAATTATAGGTGTAGCACCTTTTCGAAGTGTCATGATTGCTGCCTCCTTCAAGATAAAGATATTGAAACACCTTTTAAAGCCCTGCAGGTCAACAACTTAGACTATCTGGCTCGAAAAGTTTCTCAACATGTTGAAGACTTGTTGTTTAGCGCTTAAGGGAGTTCACTCGTACCTAACCTTTTTTCGCATGCAATCAGCAGTAATACAACCTGCGTGACTATATGTACAGATACAACGTGACACACTTACGGTAGCTGTCGAAGGAGAATTATTTTATTCACTAATTTATTGCTTATTCCATAAACCATGAATGAAGATGAGACTATAGCTACGTAATAAACAAGTTTTTAGCTATCTTCTACAAAATTTCCTATCAAATCTTGACGTCGATTATCCAGATATTACAGGTTATGTATCAGAACACTACTGATTTTCATAAGACTGCACATTAAAGGTTCAATAATAAAATGATCAATATCTCACTTTATCAGCCACAAAGGGACTTGAAATTGGAATCGAATAGATTGGAACCTATCTTCCCATCTCTTGCATGCGTACATTACTCCTACTCCAGTCATACGAGGATGTAAGGTAGCGCTGAGCATCGGAGCAGTCATTCTTGATTTAGAGTCAGTCAAGAGCACATCAACAGCAGCGGAGACAACGAGATTTAATACGCCTGCACAGTTTTTCTGATTTGCCATTTCAGTGAGAGTAGATATCTACGGCTTCTTCGCTCTAACGAGAGCCGATTGACCTAATTGTAAGTGAAAGATTACTTCTTACGTTAATCATGAGAGAAGAGGATTTTTGGTGTCGACTTTTGTCACACGAAGATAAACCTTCTTTAGCAAAATTGTCTCCACTAACGTCATCAAATTTTTTAGTTTATCTAATTTAAACAAGTGGTTTTATTATTTGAGGAAAAAAAGAAGAAAGAAAGCGGAAACGAACAGTGTCGTTATTATTCATACTAATTACCACCAACTGATTTATCAAGACAAAAGTCTACAGCAGATAATATGTTAGATCACCTAATTGATGGAATCTTTCCAAAATCACGTAAGCGTAAGGTAAAGCTTCCAACTAAGGATCAAAGTGTGCTTCAGTTCAATAATGTTAATCATAACAAAAAAGTT